CAGGTCCAAGGAGATCGAGGCTGTGGGGCTGGGCAGCGCTGAGGCCTTCAAGGAGGTCCGAGTGCAGTCGGTGGTGGTGGAGTTTCTGCTCAGCCACGTGGAGCTGCTGTTCAGCGACTCTTTCACATCCGTGGGCAAGTTCAACACAGGTAGGAGCCAAAACCACCTGGACCTGAACCAGATCGCTACTGTATTGATCCCGTGAGGGAAATTGCTGTGCAACAGCAGCTTAACACAGCAACAGTGTAACAAAATTGATACAATAATGCAACAATGCAATACATACAATACAGTCAGTACAGTCAGTGAGAAATGCACTAAGAAGAGTTGCTCACAGTCCAGAATATACAAAGAACAAACCAGAACAGTACACAAAACGTATTGCACATTATAAATATTTTGCTAAATATGTTTGTGTAATATATAGAGGACGGCAGACAGCTCTACTAGTTAGTGTTTTATCAAGGATCTCATTCAGCCGTTTCTTGATAGAAGCATGGCTGAAAATCTTGTTGCATACTCCTACATCCCTTTGTGTAAAGTTTTGGCGGATCCAGCCATTTCCTGAAAGAAGCCAAGGTACTGGCTACAACTGCATGGTGGAGCAGTTGGTTCTGTACTCCCACAACCCTTTGGGTAAAGTAGTCCCTCCTGTCCCGATGGGGGATCCCACCCAACTGTTCTTAGGAAGGAGCCATTGTACTGGTGTTGGCGAAGTGGCTGGGCATATTGTAACATGCTCCTGCCACCCTTTGTGTAAAGAAGTGTTAGGACACAGCCACTGTTTTGAACGAGGGTCCCCTCTCCCTGTAATTTCTCCCTATGCGTGGCTTGTCAGCGCTGGCCATCAGTTCGCTGATGTGCACGGCCACTGTCAGATTGGTTGTGTGGGTCACGGTGATACTTTTCACGGGGAAAGCTTTGAAATTGGGAGGCACTGAGGCCAGTCGGTCGCTTGGAAGAGGTGCTTGTGGGGAAGTCCAGGAGGCTCTCTAGACAGGTTTGCACCCTTCGGGGCGTGTGGTGTATTGCAGAGTTGGGACCCATCGGCAGCAGCCCGAGGGTCGTTCTGCGTCCGCTCGTCTTCGGGTTGTATTCCGGTCCTCCCTCCCCCCACCGTGGCGGCACACTCAGCACGCTGTCTGTTTCTCTAGCAGTGGACCGGGCCTTTCGAAAGATCCCGGGCCAGTCCCAGAAACGCAGGCTGCTGAGCCTGAGCGAGGCCCGAGATCAGACCCGGCTGCCCAGGGACACGGGGGGCTTCTCCAGATCGCGATTCACATCCCAGACCAGCATTACAGAGGCAGAGGACTGACACCAGGGGGAGGGGGGGTGTCTGTGTGTGTGTGATTGCTCACATTTGTGAGCAGGGGTCGGCCGATGTGATTCTTTTTTAATCTAATTGTTTAATTGAATCCTTGATGCAGTTTTCAGCACTCTTCCTTTACAGCTGTACAGACATGGAGTGCTCTTTTTTTTTTCTTGCATGCAGTAGAATGTACCCAGCTGGATCTGGACAATTGCAGTTGTGAAGGTTTTTTAGTTTTCTTTAGCACTTCAGTTAGTTCAGATCTGGGAGAGGAGGAGGAGGTGGCATGGACAGTCAATTGAATAATTAGGAGAGAAGGTAACAGCACACATGGAATGAAAGCCAGGAACCTCTCTGAGAGTCTCAGCCAATCAGGAGACAGGAATGATGCCCTCGCACTGATTGGTCAGGGCAGTAGTGCCAGGCTCCGCCCCTCAAGACCAATCCCTCTAGGTCTCTGGCAGCTGCAGTGTTAAAGAGATGTAGAAAACCTACTGGGCTGACCATCTCATTGGCCGTTGTTGCTGCAGACTCTAGGAGGACTGCTGAGGAGATGGTCCTATTTTGCCATCTCAAAACCAGGCTCTTTCAGGCTAAGCCTCAAGACTTAAGAATTATTTTGCTTAAAGGCAAATTTATTCTTGCCAGTGCCTGGCATTTGTAACACCAGATCATTGTAACAGTAGTATAGGTAAAAATGCTGCCTGCAGATCCTTATTAATTCTTGTGAATTGATGAGTAAGATTTAATAACTTTGGGGAATTAGCCTTGGAGAGCTTGATTTTAAGGAGGCTAAATGATTAGCAGCACATTTATGACTTTTTTTTTTTGTCGACAAATCTTTTTTGTGTGTTTGTGTTTCACTTACACTTCTCTCATCTGTTGACGTTGTCGGAGGGGATTTTCAAACCCTCGACTTCCAGGTAGCCCATATCTGGTGTCTTGCTCTGCAGTTTCCAGATTTGGCTTGAGATTGAAATGTCAACGCTTGCTCCCAAAATAAATTGGCAGGGACCTAGATTTAATGTGGCATTTAAGACAGCTTTCTGGACACTCCACTCAGAGCTCTTTACAGGTCATGGGGATCCCCTCCACCCCCACCAGTGTGCAGCCCCACCTGGATGATGCGCCAGTCCGCTCCCCACACACCAGCTCTCAGTGGGGAGGAGAGCAAAGTGATGGAGCCAGTTCAGAGATTATTAGGAGGCCATGACTGGTGAAGGCCAGCAGGAAATTTGGCCAGGACACTGGGGTAACACCCCTACTCTTTTTAAGAAACGCCCTGGGATTGTTAATGACCACAGGGAGTCAGGACCTCAGTTTTAAGTCTCATCCGAAGGACGGCGCCTTTTTTACAGTATAGTGTCCCCGTAACTATACTGGGGCGTTAGGACCCACATAGATCCACATGTTTGTATGGACGTCAATTTTAAATACCTCCGTTTTTATTTTATATAATAGATTTGTCCAAATACTTACAGGTCAGGTTTCTGCCAACTTATCTTGGGAACGTAAGCAACTTTTTTTTTGTTTGCACATTCAGTGAGCGCGATTTTCACATTGGTGTGACTCCCCACCTGTTTACTCGGGCCCTAAAGCGCTTATTAAAGACTAGAACCTGCACAAGGAATCAAACGGACCGATTGCTGGAGGGATCTGTCAGCCATTCTGCGGCGTTTGTAATGTGCTTGCTGTAGCTGAGGAAGAAAACTCTGAATCGGATGTGGTAGTCAGACCCTGTATTTGCAAACCTGTTCCAAAAGTGTGAGCGACCGTAAGCCACTTTTATTTCCTGAGACCATGCTTTGTTTTTAAATCCTGTTCTGTATTAAATCTGTCATTGAAGACACTGTGGATTGTAGGGCCCAGTGTAATTAAGTGTGTTCGCAGCCAGCAAACACCCTACAGTCACAGTACAGTATGCTGTTTGTAAGTATGAGCTTCCCAGCATTTTCAAAATGACTGTTTTACCTGCTAGGGGAAATCTGGTCACCAGGAAATAGCAGGTTCTTAAGGAACATGCATTAGCTCTTAATCATACTGTAGATTATATATATATATTGTTCCTTGATTTGATTATGGTATGGATGGCTTGGGAGTTACTATGTTCATAAGCAATTTGCTACAGCATATCTGATCATGCCTTTGTTGTCTGAAGGGTAAAGCAGACATTAGGGAATAATGTTCGACGAGCTGAACAAGCTACCGTCTTGGTTCACTGATGCAGGAAACATGATGGAATCCTTAATTCTTGAAGATGGGGAATAAGAGTGCCAGTGGTTTTTCTTGTTTCGGAAGTGTTACAAGGTAGACACGGAAGGAATTTTGCATTTTACTTTTTTCCTTAAGAGAATCGCAACGAAATTAAGAAAAAAGACTTTAAAAAAAAACATGTATAGAGACAACTACATCAGAGTCTACCATTACAAAATGTAGCTTTAGCCTGGCAGTTTTGAAGAGGGCTAGGAATCCCAGCTTGTGATGAGCTGGTTCCAGGTTTAAGCCCCTACTCTGTTAGCAGTTTGTTTGTCAGTGACCTTGCAGTAGGAGCTGTGATTGACTCCCCTGGATCTCTCTTTCCCAGTTCTGGGTAAAAGTCTTTGCTGGATGCCTGTTATGTCTTTTTCAAGCGTCATTGACTGTAAATCCAGAATGCAACAGACCATTTTAATAGAGCTGACATGAAAGAATACACGTGTGTACAGTCTTTGTAGGAAAATGAAATTTACCCAGCTAATAGAAAGTAGATTATTTTTTGTAATAAATATCCACATTTCAAATAAAGGTGGCTGATTGATTTTGCTGCTTGTGACGATTGAATTTTACTGTCATTTTGTGCAAAGCTGGAAAAATAAACTTTACTTTCCCCAACTATGCTGTAGAATTCAGGTCTAGATTATTGGAAATCGTGTTTTTGTAAGTCTTCATTTTCTTTTTTAGCTGTGTTATGGTTGCATATTTGTATGCAGATTGACTGCCAGTGATGTTGCTGTTGGAAATGCATGCGCTTTGTGTAGCTAGCTGTGTTAGAAATGGCCTCACCTCATGTTACTTCAGCGAATGCTGTCTTAACGTATTGCTCCATTTTCAGAGTTAGCTTGTTATCTACGAAAAAGGCCGTGACACAGACGTCGTGGTTTGTGGGTTTTTGAGGCAGTTTACAGAATATATTTCTGCAGAATGTAGTCTTTTCTCCCCTTGATGTCTGTGATATGGTTAGTGAGTGCACCTGAACGACACCTTCTCCAAGACATCTTGCAGGTAATACCTCTGGCCTCCGTGTGGCTCATTTCCTTGCTTGTCCAGCCCATATAATAATGCACTGTGGAACCCCCCAAAATCCCACTGAGTTGTACAGTGCCCTGCTGCATAAGAATGGCCACCCTTGCCTTTTAGACTGGAAGTCCGCCACCCAACACGAGGCACAAAACCGAGCACACTCAAACACAGCAGTATCTGATGGCTCGGTCTTCTGCAAACCGCAGGGACTGAAGCATACGCTCATGCAGACGGTTGCCCTTTCATGCTTTAGCCTACAAAGCTATGGGCCAAACAGGAAGATGTTCATTTTTAATGCAGCGGGGCTCCAGTTCGTTGTGTATTTGCAGGACGCTTCCTGGTGCAATCCCACAATGCATTCTCATATGGGCTGGGGCTTAAGCAGCAGCCGCTGGCAGATGATGCACCATCTTGCCTGTCCTCTTCTTTGGCTTTTGCTGCTGCCCGCTTAGCAGTCTCAGGAGCGCCAGACCAGATCAAGAGCCTAACATTGTTTTAACACGTCCGTGATGGCCTCTGTCTCCCAGTGATTCTGCGAATTGCAGCTGTTGATCGTGGTCAAAGTTGACCCTGGCTTCCCAGAGCAATACCCGACACATCGTGAAGTTAAAGCTCAGCTGTTGGCACCCCAAGGTTAGCTGTGTGGCGCAACGGGAAGCTGATGAGTTTGATGCAGCTCTCCTGGCGGAGGGTTAAAATTGGACAGTACATTCAGACAGGCAAGGGCAGAGACGAGACACCTCGCAGCACCGATTTCTGTTTTCGTCCGCTCGCTTCTCGTTCTAGAATTGCCTACATCCACGGTTTCAGATACGGTGCCAGAATCCTCTTCGAAGCTCTCCGATGGCGTCGGAATCTGCCGTGTTTCCTGCCGCTCTAGGGTAGTCCCTTGGCGCCAGCAAAGACGTGGTCAGAAGTGGGCCTATCCCAGCAAACGCTTCTCGAGATGCTCCCGTTTCCCGGGGGGTGTGTGCCCTCTCTGCCACTGGCTGGGCATCCTAGCGCTTGGCAAGCCTGGCACATTAACTTGTCCTTTGCGCTGCGCCTGCTAGCGTCTCGACCCGCAGTGCCAGGCCGGCCACCTTGATGCAAGGCAGGCCTGGGTCTCTCCGGTGTTTACCCTCCAGCTTTCCTGCAGGATGTAACAAAACTGCGCTGTTGCCTCTTTAACTGTGTTCTAATGATGGCTGTTGTTGTTGTTGTTGTTTCTCTTGTGTCTTTGTTTTGTTGCGGTTCTCAGGGCGGTGCTCCCTCAGCCGGCCCAAGTCCTTCGTCATCTCGTCCCTGTCCACGAGGCTCCTGTCCCTGGAGGAGGCCCAGGCGAGGACCCAGGCCTCGGCCCACCTTCAGTGCTTGCAGCAGGCCCGGCTCCTGGCTCTCCAGGGCCCGAGAGAGGACTTCCAGGGCCGGTTCCACACCGTCCTGGATTTGCCTGCCGACAGGTAGAGTCTCCGCGGTGATGGTTTTGTTTGTCAGCAGCAGGGGGCGACACCTTATTGCCATATCCCAGTGGTTCCCACTCCTGGGGAAAATTGCCCCTGGTGTGAGTGTGTCAGTTTATGTCCAAATTCCCCCCTGGCCTTTACCAGTCATGGTAATAATAATCCCCCTCTCTGAACTGGCGTCATCGCTCTGCTCCAGCTAATCTGCTAACATGTTTTAGGACTGTGGGAGGAAACTAGAGAAAACCCACACCAACCCGGGGAGAACATGCAAACTCCACACGGACAGCCCCCCCCCAGGTCTGGAATTGAACTCGGGGCCCCAGCGTTGCGAGGTGGCCACTGCGCCACCACGTCACCCCTAGGGAGGATCGGTCTATCTTTTAGTTTTGCTCCTTTACTCAAGTGTGGAAGCAGTGTCCACTCCGTTTCAGTTCCCACATCACGTCGACTTGCTCCGCTGTGACCTTCGTGACCAACCTTATGATCACAGTAGAAAGGATGGCGCGGGTCGCGGGGGGAACACCGAGCCGCGCAGAAGGAATCTCAGTCTGATCTCCCCCCCCCCTGCAGGCGGAAGACTGGGATGAAGGTGCGGAAGTCGGCGGGGGGGAGCTGGAAGACTTTCTTTGCCATCGGGAAGCAGGCATCCGGCCGCCGGAAGCACACCAGGATCGGCTCCCTGTTCCAGCCAGCGACGTCGCAGGCCGGTAAGGTCATGAGCCCCCTGTGGCGTACAGCTCCTCCACACCAGGCAGAGCTGTGACAGGGGCTCTCTTTCTGATATAATCTCACAGTTTACTAGACTAGATCAGGTCCTGCTCAATTTCACTTGGTCTCCAACCACGTATCTTGATGAGCAATCGCCACTGGCATAAAAACTATATTTAACGAAGATAAGATCACTTTATGAGCCATATACAATTTCTTGCATACTCTAGCTTGCTCTCCATGAGACACACAGGAACACAGACAGGGAGAGAAGCTGGGGGTCAGAGCACAGGGTCAGCCATTTATGCGGCGCCCCTGGAGCAGTTGGGGTGAAGGGCCTTGCTCAGGGGCCCAGCGGAGTAGGATTCCTCTGCCGGCCGCGGGATTAGAACCGGCAACCTTCCAGCCACATTACTGTAGTGAACTGCTGGAAAACCAGGGGTTAATATAGCTTGAGGTGAAAAGTGTTTTATTTCAGCCACTTGTCTTCTCTGCCTTTCTTAGCTTGCTGGTGATATACCCCCTCTAGTGGTGAAATAGGCAGCAAACACAATTACTTGTCCTTTCCACAGAAATTCTTCATATGGCCACCTTTGGCACTAGACCAATTTGTCTAGTGCACCTATAAACACAGTTTTGTGTTTTAAAGTGTGTAAGTAGAAGAATTTGAGAGAAAAAAGTGCCAAATAAAATCAAAAGTTGTTATATTAACTTCTGAATGCAGACTCTCAACTTGACTTCACCTGCCAAAGGAACAAGTAAAGGTTTATTCCAGGTGTGAATACTGGAATATATTAGCATGGAATAAACCTTTACTTGTTTCCTTTGTGGTCTACAAATGCCGACGCAACTCCCTACTTGACTAAACCTGTACCACCTGGATTTCTGTTTCTGTATTGACTCGTATTCCTTCCAAACTATTTACCAGTGTAATAGGAAAAGTCATTAACCAAGGAAAGCCCAGGCTTGTAGTGACAAAGGGCACCTGTTTTTGTCACTGCTCGAGGATGTCGAGAGCAGCTGTCCCCATGTTGCTGTTTATTTCATTCTTCTCAGGCACACGAATGGACACAGTGACCCTGCGTTCAGCCAAGAGTGAGGAATCCCTCTGCTCTCAGCACAGCGGGGCAGGTGAGACCATCGCAAACCGTCTCCTCTGATAACGGCTGCAAATACCAGCCACGCAGCAGAGCAGACCAGTAGTGTGTCCTCCGCACTCCGGGCAGCCCCGAAGATTTACATCGATCTCGGTGTCCACAGGGCCTAAATTAAGCCACTGAAGTCAGACAATTGATTCAGTTACCTCATTAAGAGCTCGGGTGCTGGAAGACCTGAAATATGCTGAAAATCTAAAGGCCGGCAAAAGTGATCACTATTGTAGGCTACGTCTCTGTGGACCACAGAGTCCAGCCCCAGGGAAAATGAGCTGTCTTGATGTTGAGACGAAACAAACACAGCACAGAGGTGAACTGTTAAAACACTGTGGTATCTCCGCCCTCATGAAAATAAAGACACGTGATTTTCCTCTAGTACAGGAGTGCAATGCTCCAATTGTAGGGCCCTGAGAGCTGTACATGCAGTATCAGTTATCTTCATGAGTGTCTGCATCAGGCCCTGCGCTGGGTACAAGGAGCTCCTGACTGATGCACTTTTCGTGTTCGGGTTTTGGTGCTCTTGTGCATGTTAAGACTGCTCATTCGATTGTGGAAGGATACACAATCTGCCTTTTTGTGTGAACGGCAGATAACCGTTACCTGGCCCCGACAGTACTAACCTGTGGCTCAGCCTGTCATTTAATATGCCTGACCTGCTCCATTCTTCAGAGGCCTGTTAGCACCACGGGGAAAACAAATATTGCGTTTAAACAAGAGAACATTGCCTTTAACTGCAATGATTACTTCATAAACAATATTGCCTCATGTATCAATATATTGCAATCTGTATGCAATAATATTGTACCATGCAAAGAATATTATCACACTACTGTTTGATTTACACAAGCAAACTGCAGGAAACGTGTTAAGTGAAGGGACAAGAAGCTGACTGTATTTCTGTGTCGGTTTGCACAGACATGAATTGAATAAAATACTGTATGGGAATGCCGCCCTCAAAATCCCAAAACAGTTCCAGGATTCCTCACGGGTTGCTTCCGGAGTGAACAGGGTGTTTATGAAGAGAGTCTTGTTGGTGCCGATGTGTTAATAACAGTATCTCGTGGTGACTCAATACTGTGTGTTCTCCCTGGCGCCCCCTGTGGGCGGTGTCCGGTCTGGACTCCGTTCGTGACGCGTGCCGCTTGTGTCGCCCTGGGCTCCAGGCCTGTCCAGGCTCCAGCGCCTGCGCCGCCCCCGCTCCAGCAGCGACGCGCTCTCGGTCGCCATGGAGGCCGAGCTCCTGCCCGAGCTCAAGCCCAGCCGCTCCTACGACAGCCTGCAGGCCGAGGAGGACCCCGAGGGCGTCTACATGCTGCCCGACTTCTCCCAGGAGCCCGCCCTGTGGCTGGCCGAGGACGAGATGGACTTCAGCCCCACCTTCCTCGAGGAGGGCGGCGGAGGGAGAGGAGGAGGAGGAGGAGGAGGAGGAGGCCCCGAGCTGGAGCCGCTGTCGCCGCCGCCGCCGCCGCCCCCCGCGTTCCGCTGCGGCCCCCACCACCTCCAGCAGCCGCTCACGGAGGACCCCGACTCCCTGCTCAACCAGTCGGAGGCGGCGGCCCGGAAGAGCCTGGTTCTGGCCGCCGCAGCCGCGCCCCCGCTGCGGTCCCTGTCCTGCTGCCAGCACCGGGCCCAGGCCCAGGCCGGGGAGCTGAGCAGCCCCCCTCCCGAGAGGAGGTCCTTCACTCGCAAGGTGGCCCACGCCCTCTCCCCCAAGGGCTCCAGATCGCCCCCTCTGGACATTTCCGACCCCATCGCCATCAGCGTCCCGGCCAAGGTGAGCTCTCATCCCGGCCCGCGTCCGGAAGCCTGCGTGTGGAAACTTCCCGTCCGTACGGTACCTGCGTGACTGCGCGTCGCCTTGCACAGCTGGTTAAGTCTCTGGTTTTTTAAAGTGCTGCGTCAGAAATATGTTTTCATTTATGAGACGTTAAAACCGAGGCCCTGATTCTCTGTGGTCATTAAAAATCCCAGGGTGTTTCTCGAAAAGAGTAGGGGTGTTACCCCGGCGTCCTGGCTAGATTTCCCATTGGCTCTTACCAGTCACCTCCTAATAATCCCCCTCTCTGAACTGGCTTCATCACTCTGCTCTCCTCCCCACTGAGAGCTGGTGTGTGGGGAGAGGACTGGTGCATCATCCAGGTGGGGCTGCACACTGGTGGTGGTGGAGGGGATCCCCATGACCTGTAAAGCTCTGAGTGGAGTGTCTAGAAAAAGCGCTATATAAGTGTAAGCAATTATTATTATTGATTGATTAGAAGCCGATTGGCATTGATTACCACTAGGGAATGTTTAGTGTTCAAAATGTGATATACAAATATGAATGGGCAGAACTGTGAAGTCGCTTCATGTCATGAAAACACAAGTACCTCATTCATAACGAAGGCACGTTGGGGGGAAATAAAAGTGTCTGGCTTTTCACAAGGTGCTGGAGATGATCGGCGGGCGAGCTGGCGAATTGCCGACCGGCCCTCAGGGCTCGGGCCCCACCCACCCCCCCCAGATGATCTCCATGCTGCTGAGGTCGTGCGACATCCAGCTGACCGAGAGCTGCCAGGAGGAGATCCGCAGCAAGCTGACCCAGGGCGGCGAGCTCAAGGTCAAAGGTTAGTTGGGGGGTCAAAGGTCAGAAGTTGAAATTGGGTCTCTGACCGACCATGCCTGTCTCCTAGATCATCCTCGGTCACAAGCGGGTGAGCCCGACAGGTCCTTCTCAATGGGTAATACCAGATAATTATAGTAACAATATAATACGTTCTCATACATTGAAGCTGCTAAAATAACAGCTCTTAACCAGGCCATTAACCAAGCACCCACCTTAAACATCAAATCTCGCTTTTAAAGGAAAACTAACAAAGGGAGGTTTCCAATCTCAGCTTGACCAAAGGAAGAGTACGAACATCTCGGATGCAATGCAAAGAGAATTCCGGAGAGGTGGAGGAACACAGCTAAAAATTCTCTAATGCTAAACGTTGGACTGGTGTGAAAACTGAGTAGTGCCAAGCGGCTGAGGTATGAAAGGAGTGCTTTGGGTCGTTTCTGTTCTGCTTTACCTGTTCATTCAGGCGAAGAGAAAGAGAAACGAAGCAGAAAGGGACAGAAAGGCACACAGGCAAAAGATGACACCTATTTTTTTTATCCTGTGATTCTGCAGGTCTGCCGATACCCTCCTCACAGATACCCCCGCCCCCTCCCCCGAAGAACCCTGCCCGTCTGATGGCGCTGGCCCTGGCGGAGAGTGCCAACAAGGCCCTCCAGCAGGCCTCCGGCCAGCCCGCCGCCACTACCGCCACCGCCGGGTCCCAGCGCCACCCCCGGCCTCAGGGCAAGGCCGGGGAGAGTTTGGAGGCGCGTTTCATGAGGTCCCTCTCCGTGGACTCCAGCGAGGTCCTCTCCTCGGTCTCCAATCCCCTGTACTCCACAGTGCGCCCTCTGTCGGTGTGGAGGTCCGAGGTGGAGGCCGAGGACAAAGCAGAAGGGGAGCAGAAAGACCGGAGTCAGCCACAGGTAAGAGGATGCTGTTGTTCCTGTAGCCTGTTGACGGGGGTTCCTGGGTAATATTCCTCAAGACGTGTCTTCCACTCGTGGAATGAGTTAGTGCACTTTTCCTGAAAGGATGCACTTCCACATCTTGGATGACTTGCGTGACGCTTCAAAGCTGCAGCTACTGGGGCAGAATCACGCTGTTATTCCTTTGTTGCTGGCATGCGTTGATGAATTTGAGAGTCCTACACCGTCTACAGGGGTTCATCGTTATCAGCGCTGACCACCCTTGCCCTGTTCAGTTCCAGATTCGAAAATGAACATCCCTTCTTTGTCGCTCTCCCTCCCACAGGACACCGGCACCCTCTCCTCTCAGACCTCGCTGTCCGAGTCCGGAGCTTCTATCTCGGAGGTGTCTGCCAGCAGCTCTTCTGGGGAAACGGACTCTGGGCCGACCTACAAGAATCAGCTGTCCAAGACCCCTTCGATCATGTCCAGCGCTGCCTGTCAGCCCACGGACCAGCCCCCAGACCGTTCCGGTCTGAGCCCCACCGAGGACCAGGGCGGCTCGGAGAGCCAGTCCCAAGTGCGGAAGCCCCCCGCCTACTCCAGGCAGTTCTCCGCCCCTCATCTGCAGCAGAAGGTCCCCACGTCTGGCCCCAATCCTGCC